CACCGACGTGAGCAGCGGCTGCGCCGCGTCCAGCAGCAGGTGCCGCATCGCCTCGAACAACACGCGGATCTGCCGGTCCTCCGCCACGCGGAACAGGTACACGTCCCACGCCGGCGCCGCCAAGTCAAGCGTCACCTCGATCACGCAGCTGTGCGCCGGCGGCTGTTTGCGCTCGTGCTGCGGCGCCGCGTCAACCACTTACCAAAAACATCGCGCCGTGCCGCTCCAGCGCGGCCTCCAGCGCGCCGTCCGCGCTCTCCGAGCGCTCCGCGGCCGCGCGCCACTGCGTGCGCGCTTTCGCGAACGTCAGCGCCGGGTCGTACGCCACGCCCAGCGTCTGCAGCTCCTCTGAGTGCATCGCCGCCGCACTTACCCGCCACGTCTTGGAACGCGTGCATCCAATCAAACAAATTCACAGAAAACAGAGGAAAACGTCGCGCCGGCCGCGAAATAGCGAAATAGAATTTCGCGAAAATTCACTTTTTCTCATGAGCGATTCCAAGAGCAAGGCGTATCCCGCCGCGCCCGAGCCGCTGCAGGCGAAGCTCTACGCGCTCGCGCAGGCCGCCGCGAAAGTCGGCCAGCTGCGCCGCGGCGCCAACGAGGCCACCAAGGCGCTCAACAAGGGCCGCGCAGAGCTCGTGCTGCTCGCCGCCGACGCCGACCCTCTCGAAATCGTGCTGCACCTGCCGCTGCTCAGCGAGGACAAGAACGTTCCCTACGTGTTCGTCGCGAGCAAGGCCGCGCTCGGCCGCGCCTGCGGCGTCGAACGCGCCGTGATCGCCGTCGCGCTCACCGCCGCCGACCACAGTCCGCTGCAACGCGAACTCGACGCCGCGCGGCTCGCCGTCGAACAGCTGCCAATTTAATTTCGTTTTTTCGCGGAAAAACTACTCGCATGCCCAACCGCGTTCTCGTCGTATTTGGGCCCTCTGGCGTCGGCAAAGGCTCCACAATTCGCCGCGCGCGCGAGCGTTTCGGCGCCGCCGTCGCCTTATCGATCTCGCACACCACGCGCGCGCCGCGCGAGGGCGAAGCACACGGCGTCGACTACTACTTCGTCAGCAAGCCCGAGTTCGAACGCATGCTCGCCGCCGGCGAGCTCGTCGAGCACACGCGCTACAACGACAACTACTACGGGACCAGCGTTGCCGAACTGCAGCGGCTCGCGCAGGCGCCCGGCGCCGTGCCGATCGTCGAAGTCGAAGTGGAAGGCGTGCAGAAGCTGCAGCAACTGCCCGACCTCGGCGCGTTCTACCTGGTCATGAAGCCGCCGAGGGTCGAGGTGCTGCGTGCGCGGCTGCGGCTGCGCGGCACCGAGACCGAGGCCGAGATCGAGCGTCGCTGCGCGCGCGCGCGCGAAGAGCTCGCGCTGTACGAGCGCTGCCACGTGGACTACACGCTCGTCAACGACGACCTCGACGCGGCCTGCCGCGAGTTCGAAGCGCTGCTGCTGCGGCTCTACCCGCAACTGCGCTCTAGCGCGAGCCCAGTGCCAAGTTCTGCTGCGCCAGCGCCGACGTGCCGCCCAACTGCGTGACCGGGTTCCCGCCGTAGCCCTGGCGGAAGAGCGATTCGGTGCCGATCAGCGGGTAGCCGTAGCCGAAAAAGGGCCGGTAGTAGTAGGGGAAGGTGACGCCCATCAAGTTGCCGCAGCCGTAGCGGCAGTACGCCTCCGACGGATAGCTGTTCCAGGTGCCTTCGACGATCGGCGGCAGCGCCGGCGCGACCTTCGGCGGCTCCTCGGGCTTGTGCGACTGCCGCGCGCGCAGCAACCGCCGCGGCGGCAGCGTGTCCGAGCTTTCGAGCAGGTCCACGTCGCCGACCATGTTGCCCTCGCCGTCCTGCAGCGTCGCCGCGGCGGCGTTCACCGCGATCTGCGCGCCGCCGCGCAGCTGCAGTATCTTGACGCCCGCGACGTCGAGCACGCGCAGCAGCGGCTCCTCTTGCGTCAAACCGACGCGCTCGAACGGGTACGCCTTCGTCGGGTAGAACGCGTCGGCCACGAAGCGGTAGACCACGTGCGGCGCGCCGTCGCCGAGCCCGGCCGCCACCGCGCGCGCGCCTGCGGCGAGCGCGCCGAGCCAGTAAACCGAGTACGCCTTCATAGAGAGATCGCTGTTCGATAACACACAATTTTTTCACGCGCTTTCCGTCTCTGCGTCGCTCAGGCCGTCCGCCGGCTCGCCCCAGAGCGCGGAGCTCTCGAACTGTCGGTCCGCAGTCACGCGGAACTGCACCAAGTCCGCGGTCAGCTGCTGGAAGTTCGCCGGCGGCGTGCCCCAGCCGGCGGGGCCCCAGCTCGCGCCCGGTGGCAGCGGCGCGTTGATGCCCGGGATTGGCAAGTGCGCGTAGCAGGGCAGCACGCCGAGGCTCTTCATCACTTCAAACCACGGAGGCGGCGACACGCTGCTCGGCATGCCCAGCGCTGCGCGCAGCTCCTCGCCGAGCACGCCCGGCACGAAGCCCGCGCAGCGGAACACGCTCTCCATGCTCTCCTGGTACACCTCGCCGAAGCTCGTGAGCGCCGGCCGAAACTTGTTGCGGAAGAATGCGCTGTAAAGCGCGTTGAAGTTGATGAACAGCCGGTTCGTCTTCGGCCGCAGCTTCTGACGCTGCTCCTGCTGCGCGCTCTTGCCCGCCTGCTGCGCGAGCGTGAGCGCGCGAATCTGCGAGATGCGTGTCGCCTCAATCGGCGCGGGCAGCGCGTACGGCGGCCGGTAGTACGCACGCCGCGCGGTCAGAAACCTGCTCTTGAGCGCCCAGTGCTTCGGCACCGGCACCGAGTTGCGCCACTCTTTCAGAAACAGCGCGAAGGCCGGGTCCGGCGCGCCAACGTCGTGCGCCTGCACCAGGTCGGGCCGCCGTACGCGCAACTTCAGCGCGAACGGCGTCAACTTGCGCCGCTTGCGCGGCGCGTCCGCTGCCGGCGCGCCGGCTGCGGAAGCACCCGCGCCCGCCGCGAGCGGCACCC